AAGCGCATGCAAAACAACAAAGACCAGCATTGTTTCCTTGATGTCAGTACCAACTCGCAATACTTTTCCTCCTTCTTCTGGAGACACAACTGTACACACTGAACCAACTCCAACCAGTTTCTACTACAAACATTTTCAGAAAACACACCCTTCAAAATCCCAGCTGCTTTGCACAGACAGTCCATTCAAGACTCCTTCTCCCTTTCATCCTCAGCCACAGAGTTTGGTGAAGCAACAGCCTAAAAATAGCAAAGGCGTAAATGACAAGAAACCACTGATTTCCAACTCCGAGATGGGTAACCTTTCCAAACGCTCACACCTTGGGATCGAAGACTTTAACAGAAGGCAGCAAGGAGGCAGCAGGAAACAGAGCCTTCTGATTTGGAAAAAGGCTTTCTTTGGTGAGTGCTGAACACTTTCAAGTTGTTTCCGGATTATGGCAACCACAAGGCAACCCAAATTTACTGGCAAGCTTTGTTTGGGGTGGATTGGCCAAATTTAGAGAGTATAACTTGCCCAAAACCATCCAGTGGGTCTCTAGGTTGAAGTGTGGATTCGAACCCAGGTTGGATTGGATGGCCTTTGGGTGTCTTTTCCAATTGAGTCATTAGCATTTCCTGGTTGCATCTTCCTTATGATACTGTAAACCACCTGAGAAAAATGTATAATATCACAAAGGACTACCATTTCCCCCACCTCATAGGAAACCTGCTACAAAACAGGAGCTTTTTTGTTGAGTTCCAGGGCCAGAGAAGCAGATGGCGGAAATAGAAGAAAGGCCTGCCTCAGGGGAGCGTGCTTGCTCCATCCATGTTCAACATTTACACAAATGACCAGCCACTGCCAGAAGGGACAGAGAGCTTCATCTATGCAGATGATCGTGCCATCACTGCTCAAGCAGGGAGCTTTGAGATGGTAGAACAGAAGCTCTCTGAAGCTCTAGGTGCTCTTATTGCCTGTTACAGGGAAAACCAGTTGATCCCTAATCCATCTAAAACACAGACTTGTGCCTTTCACCTTAAGAACAGACAAGCATCCTGAGCTCTGAGGATTACCTGGGAAGGAATCCCACTGGAGCATTGCAGCGCACCCAAATACCTGGGAGTCACTCTGGACCATGCTCTGACCTACAAGAAGCACTGCCTGAATATCAAGCAAAAAGTGGACGCTAGAAACAATATCATACGAAAGCTGACTGGCACAACCTGGGGATCACAACCAGACACAGTGAAGACATCTGCCCTTGCGCTATGCTACTCTGCTGCTGAGTATGCATGCCCAGTGTGGAACACATCTCACCACACTAAACAGTGGATGTGGCTCTTAATGAGACATGCCGCATTATCACAGGGTGTCTGCCCCTACACCACTGGAGAAATTACACTGTTTAGCCGGTATTGCACCACCTGACATCCATTGGAAAGTAGCAGCCAATAGTGAAAGGACCAAGGCAGGGACATCTACAGCTCATCCCTTGTTTATCAGCCAGCACGTCAACGACTTAAATCAAGAAATAGTTTTCTAAGATCTACAGAGACACTCGCTGGAACACCTCAGCAAGCGAGAGTCCAAAAGTGGCAGGCTCAACCCAGAACCTCAATCAATGGCTGATACCAAATGAGAGACTCTTCCCTGGGCACACAGAAAACTGGGCGACTTGGAAGGCGCTGAACAGACTGCGCTCTGGCACCACGAGATGCAGAGCCAACCTCAAGAAATGGGGCCACAAAGTGGAATCCACAACATGCGAGTGTGGAGAGGAGCAAACCACTGACCACCTGCTGCAATGCAACCTGAGCCCTGCCACATGCACCATGGAGGACCTTCTCGCAGCAACACTAGAAGCACTCCAAGTGGCCAGATACTGGTCAAAGGACATTTAGTATAATGCCAAGTTTTTTTTAACTTTGTGGTTTTTTAATAAATATATTACAACTCACAATCTCACAACCCCTGAGGATGCTTGCCATAGATGCAAGCAAAACATCAGGAGAGAATGCTTCCAGAACATGGCCATATAGCCACAAAACCCTACAACAACCCAGTGATTCCAGCCACGAAAGCCTTCGACAATAGTATAGCAAATGGCTACTGATGGAGTCAACAAGGGATGGATCCAACAAGAACCGACTTCTCTGCTTCCTTTTCTGGGCAGTGCTACAACTCAGACCATTTCCACCTGCTATTCATCCTTTTTAATATGATTACAGGCAATGATGGATTCCGCATTAGGAAACCAGAGCTGATTCTCCCTTCTGGGCAAAATAAATAAATAAAAATGTGAGATTCACGGAGGAAGGAAGCCCGACAGCTTGGAAATCTCTGATCCCAGCTGCATGGCAGGACAGCGTGTCTTCGCTCTGAATACATTAAACCTCCGAAGAGTGGGTTCCTTTCCATGCCGAGAGCATGGCCCACTTAAACCACACAGCTACAAAGAAAGAACATCTAATAATTAATGTCTATATGACATAATCGATGAGGTTTTGAATCCCCAAATATACCCAGTTTCTCATAAGTTCCAACAACCCTTACTCTGAAAGACTGAAGATTTTGACTGAAGTTACATGGCGGTCTGAACAGAACAAAGTAGTTCACATGCATACATATCTCAATGGTTAGTATCTGTATTGAAATCCAGTAAAGGTCTTTAAGCAGAGGCTGGATGGCCATCTGCCAGGAGGGCTCAGATTGTGTCTTCCTGCAGGGCGGAATAAGATTGGACTGGATGACCTTTGGGAGGCCCTTCCAACTCTACTGGAATACAGACTGCATAGGAATGTGGTGATGTTTACTGATTGAGATGTTTACAAGCAGAGGCTGGATGGCCATCTGTCAGGAGGGCTCAGATTGTGTCTTCCTGGAGAATTTTTTAATAATATTTAATCCTGTTTTAATGTTTGCATATTTGCATAGCTCAAATTGTATGGTAATGCTTTTATGATGTCGAGCCACTTTGAGTCTCCTTTGGGAGAGATAAAGCAGGACATAATAATAATAATAACAACAGCAGCAACAACAGCAACAACAGCAACAGCAACCTCAACAGCAACCTCAACAGCAACCTCAACAGCAACAGCAACCTCAACAGCAACCTCAACAACAACAACAACAACAACAACAACAACAACAACAGAATGGGGTTGGAATGGATGATCTTTGGGGGTTCTTTCCCATTCTAGTTGAATATATACTACATCAGAACGTGGTAGAACATCCTTCTCTAAGGGTTTATAAACAGAAGCTGGATGGCCATCTCTTGGGAAGGATCAAATTGTGTTTTCCTGCAGAGCAGGAAGGAGTTGGACTGGATGGCCCCTGGGGTTCCCTTCCAACTGTAGTGAAATACAGACTGCATCGGAATGTGGAGAGTTTTTTTTATAGGCTGGAGGGACATCTGTTGGGAGGGCTTCCTGCCTGGCAGAAGGAGGTTGGACTAGATGACCTTTGGGGACTGCTTCCAACTCTACGATTCTTCCTAAAACGTCACAACAGTTATTCTTCCAAGACAAGAAGAGCATTAGCTGCAGAACCATGTGCAAGGCAAAGGAGAAACTATCAGGTAGATAATGCTGTGTTCGATAGAAATGCATTGTATGTGGAAAAAATACAGTTCTAATGGACATGTGGTCACAGTACATTCCACCAAAGGGTTAAGCAAGTGGAGGTGTGATTCTAGAGCAGTGGTTCTCAACCTGGGGTTCCCAGATATTTTTAGCCTACAATTTCCAGAAATCCCAGCCAGTTTATCAGCTGTTAGGATTTCTGGGAGTTGAAGGCCAAAAACATCTGGGGACTCCAGGTTGAGAACCATTGTTCTAGAGGGACCGCTTAGTCATGACCGTGTTACACTCATGACAAGAATTGTATCAATTCTTGTAGTCCCTATGGGTATAAAAGTGGTAGACATGTGCATGATCTCTCGTTGACGTGCTGGCTGATACGCAAACAAGGGATGAGCTGGAGATGTCTTTGCCTTGGTCCTTTCACTACTGGCTGCTACTTCCCGGCAGATGTCAGGTGGTGCAATACTAACTAAACAGTGTAATTTCTCCAGTGGTGTAGGGCGCAGACACCCCGTGATAATGCGGCATGTCTCATTAAGAGCCACATCCACTGTTTTAGTGTGGTGAGATGTGTTCCACACTGGGCATACATACTCAGCAGCAGAGAAGCATAGCGCAAGGGCAGATGTCTTCACTGTGTCTGGTTGTGATCCCCAGGTTGTACCAGTAAGCTTTCACATGATATTGTTTCTAGCACTCACTTTTTGCTTGATATTCAGGCAGTGCTTCTTGTAAGTCAGGGCACAGTCCAGAGTGACTCCCAGGTATTTAGGTGTGTTGTAATGCTCCAGTGGGATTCCTTCCCAGGTAATAATCCTCAGAGCTCGGAATGCTTGTCTGTTCTTAAGGTGAAAAGTACATGTCTGTGTTTTAGATTGATTAGGGATCAGCTGGTTTTCCCTGTAGTAGGCAGTAAGGGCACTTAGAGCTTCGGAGAGCTTCTGTTCAACCATCTCAAATCTCCCCGCTTGAGCGGTAATGGCACGATCGTCAGCATAGATGAAGCTCTCTGTCCCTTCTGGCAGTGGCTGGTCATTTGTGTAGATGTTGAACATGGATGGAGCAAGCACACTTCCCTGAGGCAGGCCATTCTTCTGTTTCCGTCATCTGCTTCTCTGGCCCTGAAACTCAACAAAAAAGCTCCTGTTTTGTAGCAGGTTTCCTACTGATAACAGACCTGGTGTATATAGTTGTACATATAGCAATGAGTGAAGAGCAAAGCCTCCAAATGGAGTTTGGATGAAAGTCAAAGCTCAAGTACCTTATTGAAGTGGTAAGCGACAAACGAGATCAGAGTCTTGCAGAAAATCTCTGCTAACTACAGATAAAGACTCTGCCTATGCGCAGCTTTTGGAGGTTGTCTACCTAGAGGGTGTTTTGTTTGTTTCTTTAACCCATGACAGAAACAACAACTCCAAGCTTTGGGGGTCTTACCTCTGTCCATTTGTCATCGACTTCCATAAATAAGACACAGAAAGGGTCAGATTTAGAGGTCACATCGCGGTCGAGAAGGTTTTGGCCACAGACGGAGAGTTCGACTTTGCAGACACAATACTGGGGCCCGATGGGCGGTGACGGCGGAGAGCTCGTGGTGTACGCCATTGGCTCCGGCAGCAGCAGCTCCTGGCAATCTGCAAGAAAGAAAAGCAAAGTTCACTACATACATAACTAGCACTGTCAGGGGAGCAGAGCAAATACCCATATTTGCAGGGAAATATGGGTATTTGCTTTCCACCATCATTATCTATATTGGTCTTCCTCTTGACAGTATATAACAAAATTAGATTTTTTTCCGTTCCTGATTTGGAAAGGTTATTTCCTGTTTCATTGTGCAATCCTTACTTTGAAAGTAGCTGTTATCCTCCAGAAATTTTATTTTTGTGGCACAAACAATGTTGAATAGGTTGAGACTCAATGAGATATATGAAGGTTGAATGAAAAGTAATGCCTCCACCTTCGTAACTCCTCAACAGATGCCAGTACTGGTATGTGGCAGGTACTGGCTTGTTCAGTAGACTCTCCTCTACAGTTCCATTTTGGAGGGAAGCCTTAGCACTACACGGTTCTGTTGTTAAAATGTGAAGTATGGAACCCTGCGCAGACGGTCGGTCAATGCGACTTAAGCAACATGCAGTCATTGAAGGTGTCACCCCAAAGGAGATTCCTCAAAGAATGCAAGCTGTTTATGTTGATTGTGTTGATGTGAGTACTGTACGTTGTTGAGTAAGTAAATTTAAAGATGTTGAGGTAGGAACATTTGATTTGCGTGACAAACAAAGAGTTGGACTGGGTTGTTGTAGGTTTTTTCGGGCTATGTGACCATGTTCTAGAGGCATTCTCTCCTGACAACAACCCAGTGATTCTGGCCATGAAAGCCTTCGACCACAGACCCCACAACCTCTGAGGATGTGTGCCATAGATGCAGGCAAAATGTCAGGAGAGAATGCCTCTAGAACATAGCCATATAGCCCGAAAAAACCTACAACAACCCAGTGATTCTGGCCATGAAAGCCTTCGATAATACAAAGAGTTGGACGTCCTGTGACAGCAACCACCGAGTTTTGCAAGCAAAATGTTGACAGATTGATTCGATCGCCATATCACTCAGAGAGAAATTTCAAGCATAATCGGCATTTCACAAGAACATGTGGGTCACATTATTGCTTTGCTTGGCTATCGGAAAATCTGTGCATGATCGGTACCCAGGATGATGACGCCTGAAACTCGCCCAACGACGCACAGTACTCACATCAACACAATCACCATGAACAGCTTGCATTCTCTCATGAATCTCCTTTGGGTTGCCATGTGGATCTTCCACTATGATCCTTTGCCATAGTTCTTGTTGTGTTGTGGGTATATCTCTGTATATAATGATACCAATTCTGCTGTCAAGAATTCAATGACTGCATCAATAGGAGCATAGTGTCTAGATCTAGGGAAGTAATGCTACCCCTCTATTCGGCTTTGGTTAGACCACACCTGGAATATTGTGTCCAATTCTGGGCACCACAATTCAAGAGAGATATTGACAAGCTGGAATGTGTCCAGAGGAGGGGGACTAAAATGATCAAGGGTCTGGAGAACAAGCCCTATGAGGAGCGGCTTAAGGAGCTGGGCATGTTTAGCCTGAAGAAGAGAAGGCTGAGAGGAGATATGATAGCCATGTATAAATATGTGAGAGGAAGCCACAGGGAGGAGGGAGCAAGCTTGTTTTCTGCTTCCATGGAGACTAGGATGCAATGGAACAATGGCTTCAAACTACAAGAGAGGAGATTCCATCTGAACACGAGGAAGAACTTCCTGACTGGGAGAGCCATTCAGCAGTGGAACTCTCTGCCCCGGAGTGTGGTGGAGGCTCCTTCTTTGGAAGCTTTTAAACAGAGGCTGGATGGCCATCTGTCAGGGGTGATTTGAATGCAATATTCCTGCTTCTTGGCAGGGGGTTGGACTGGATGGCCCATGAGGTCTCTTCCAACTCTTTGATTCTATGATTCTCTTGGTGCCTCACCAAACTGCAAGAATTCAATAACTTCACGTTGCTTAAGTTGCATTGACCGACAGTCTGCGCAGGATTCCATACTTCACACTTTAACAACACAACAGTTCAATACTAAGGCTTCCCGCCAAAATGGAACTGTAGAGGAGAGTCTACTGAACAAGCCAGTACCTGTCACACAAGTACTGCCAACTGTTGAGGAGTTATGAAAGTGGAGGCATTACTTTTCATTCATCCCTCGTACATTGAAAAACTAGAGCAAAATGTCTTGTGGGATGTCCCTCTTGCAAAAGCAAAGTTTTTTGCAGTTTCGTCAATCTTTTCCATGTTTTTATCATTGAACCAATTAAGAAATGACATTTATAACCCGGGAACAAAAATCTTGTGACATAGTGTAATCGATCCTAAATGCCCAACTGGACATCTGTTCTGTATCTATGAGAATAATCTAATGAATGGCAACATTTGAAACATAACCACATTAAGAAACTGGGATTGCAAATGTAAAAATTCACTCTAACATCGATCAAATTTGTGTATTCATTTCCACATAATACAAGAGAGTACAGATTTCTACAAACTGACCTCAAAGCTGAACCTCGTCGTTGATGAAAGGAAAACAATGCAGAAAATACAGCAAAATCCCGAATAAAGGTGTTTCTCCTGCCTAATTTTCATGCATGACTGCAAATGTTATGCAAACAGTGCAAGACTAGATGGTGGAGTTCTTGTGTCAGCTCAGGTCCACCCTCTTTAAAGATTTCAACAGGGATCCCATCAGGTCCGCTGGCTTTGTTATTTTTTAATTGACTGATGGTTGTGCTGACTTCCTCCAAATTAGGCAGTGCTGCAAGCTCATCCCTTAAACATCAATGCAAATTAGGAAAATATATGTACAAAGTTTGTTAGGCTGCACTGAGCCATAACAGTTGAAGTGGTGTCAAACTGCATTAATTCTATAGCATAGATGCACCTACAGATATACTGTTGAGACTTGCGGGAAGTTATTATTAGAGTTAGCAGTAAAATAGTTGTCATAAAATGCAAGATTACTATTCGCTTTAGATAAACCTCCATGGTATCCTTTGCACTCTCGCTTAAAAAAAATATCCCAGACTAGCACAATGTTTCCACCTAGTATTATTATTTGTTTTAATTACACCTTCCGTGGAACCAAGGCTTCAAATAAGCAGGTTTGTTCTATTTATAGCACTTTGTATCTTTTTTCCACACCAAAAACAAATTCAGAAGAGCTGCGTGAGCAGAAGTCATACCTCTAGGAGGGCGAGGTCTAAGGGCGCATCTACACTACATAATTAATGCAGTTTGGCACCACTTTAACTGCCAAGGCACAATATTAAAGAATCATAGGAGTTGTACTTTTAGCCTTTTTTTTTTTTACCAAAGAGGGCTGGTGGCTTACCAAACTACAACTCCTTTGATTCCATCGCATTGACCCATGACAGCTAAAGTGATGTCAAACTTCATTAATTCTACAGTGTAGATGCACCTAAGTTGGGTCAAACAGCATTACATCTAAAATGGGAGATGTATCCGAGTTGGCTCAGACTGTATTAATTCTACAGTATAGATGTATCCAAAGTGGGGTCAAACAATATTAATTCTACAGTGCAGATGCATTGAAAGTGGGGTCAAACTGCATTAAATCTACAGTGTATACGAAGTGGGGGTCAAACGACATTAATTGTACAGTGTAGATGCAGTGAAATGGAGTCAAACTGCATTAAATCTACAGTGTTGATGTATCCAAAGTTGCTCCAAACTTCATTAATTTTATAGCGTAGGTGTACCCAAAGTTAGGCCACACTGGATTAATTTTACAGTGTAGATACACCTGAAGTAGGGCCAAATTGTTTTAATTTTACAGTGGGTGGGGTCAAACTATATTAATTCTAGAGCGTACTGTAGATGCACCGAAAGTGGGATCAAACTCCATTAAATATACAGTGTGGATGTATCCAAAGTTGCTCCAAAGTGCATTAATTCTACAGTGTTACATACACATAGTTGGGTCAAACTGCATTAATTTGATCGTGTAGATGTACCCAAAGTTAAGCCAAACTGGACTAATTTCACAGTGTAGATATACCTGAAGTTGGACCAAATTGTTTTAATTTTACAGTGTATCCAAGGTGGGGTCAAAGCGTACTGTAGGTGCACCAAAAGTGGGGTCAAACACCATTAAATCTACAGTGTGGATGTATCCAAAGTTGCTCCAAAGTGCATTCATTCTACAGTGTTTACATATCCAAAGTTGGGTCAAACTGCATTAATTTGACAATGTATCCAAAGTGAGGTCAAACTATATTAATTCTACAGTGGAGATGCACCGAAAGTGGGGACAAACTGCAGTAAATATACAGTAACAATGGATCCAAAGTGAAATCAAACTGCATTAATTCTAGTGTATCCAAAACAGGCTGAAACTGGATCAATTCCACCATGAAGTTGCATCCAAAGTTGGGCCAAAGTGCTTATCTTGCATTGTATACATGCACCCAAAATTACTTTGGTCTCAATAAGGGAGATATGCAGAAGTCTCCCTTTCCCCATCCTTTTACTACAAAGACACAGCCTTCTTTTATGAGGCAGTGTTTTCCGTTCACGTTTTTGCCCGCTTTGTCAGCCTACACCTGGTAGTAAAAACAACAGCTGTTACGCTTGCCAGTTCATCTGTATTAGTCACGAACACGGGTCCTCCTCTCCAAAAGGCACCATCCCACACTCCTCGCCCACCCTTTAATGTTCTCTTGGGGAAAACACATCTTTTTCCTCTCCTTTTTGACATGTGTTTTAGCAATGTTATAACCCGCCTCGAGCTGGGATAAACCAACCTGGACACACAATATTATTTGAGAACACGGAAATTCTTGACCACTCTGGCAACCATCATGTCAGGCCACAGAGAAGCCACTGAAATCCACAAGCACTTGAAGAATTTCAACAGAAAGGAGGACACTGTGAAAATGAACCCTTAATACCGCAACCCCTTAAGACAGTTCCTCACATTGTGGTGACCCCCAACCAGAAAATTATTGTCGTTGCCCCTCCACAACTGTAATTTTGCTACTGTTATGAATCGTAATGTAAATATCTGATATGTAGAATGGA